AAATAATATCAGCTTTACAGGTTGGGAAAATAGTTTTCGGGAAATTAATTAATATGACTGCAATATTTTAAGCATTAGTTTTCATCTGAATTATTTTTTTAATTGTTAGAATGTTATCTAATATCAGCGAAAGTAGTACTATTAAGTGACACTAACTAAACCATGATACTTCTTGCTTATCTTATATTTACTAACCAGTTAATATTACACTCGGAGGATAATTAGGTGAGATGGGTTCTTTAAAACAAATTGTCTTGCTTTGTCAATTATACTTAACTACACTTTGGAATACTTTGATACGTTTAGCTTAAATTAGAACCGTAAATGTCTACACCCTAGTGAGTGACAACTGTGATGATGAATCAATGATTAAAGACCTTATATCTAATTCTCAGTAATAGGTTACGGAGATCGTTGCTGCTGAGAATTCTCATAGTGAGACGAAACAGTCATCCAGTTCTTTCAGGAGTTCACTGGTGATTTGACATTTACCAGTTTATGATTTCAAAGAAATCTCATATCTAAGTTTGTAAAATGCTCAGTTTAATTGTTTTATTCTATCAGTTTTTTGAACCAGGATTAACTACTTCAGATTATTTAATTAATAATTAATGGATAATAGTCATACATACTCTATATATTCAAGAAAACCATTTAAGTTAGAGTTTGACAAAAGTGTAACATTCAGTTTCTCGAATGTAACTCTTCTTAAAAGAAATCTTAACAGAATTTGATTTTAGTGATTTCTAGCAGTAGTGCAGTGAACGAAAACTTAGTGAGGATAACCAATTTATTATCTAACGCAAAATTACAGAGTTCTTTAGTGAAATGTGAAAACAATATATATTAAATATTTCATTAGCAAACCTTTCATCAATTTTTCTTTATATCTTTCATGATCTTCAGTTGCTCAATTCCTTTCTGTTTTTTAAAGTTCAATGTTCTTTGACAGGCCTTTCACTTCCAATCGGCGTTACATACCACTTATATCTGTCAATATAAGTAGCATGCACCACAGTAGAATTTCATATATCATGATCTATTCTAATTTGAACTAGTTTATCGATTACATATTTATATTTTACACGTAAGATCGACATTTTGTTTGATGATACATGCCTAGGTGATTTGTTAATTATCTTAAGGTGATCATTCAAAGATAAGATTTCTCGATCAGAATAAAAGAAATGATCGTTGTTCTATGCATAACATATTTAATATTTTCAGATAATAACAGTTAAATCAATATGTCTTCATATTATAATTTTCTTAAATCATAGAACGTATGAGTGTGAAAAACAGTAAAACAAACGTTCACATATTTTTTCGCCTTGTAAACAAATATAAACCCTATCAAAAGGTTTATGATTTAACTAAAATGATGAGAGAAAGAAACTTACCCGTCGGAAGTTTATAATTATTTGAAAAGCATAATCATTCTATTCTATATAATAGTCTCTTTCCTCTTTTGGTAATTAGAAATAAATCTGAATAACATTGTTAATTTGATAGAATAATATTTAAAGTATTAATAAGAATAATGATAATAAATAATGGGATAACACAACTAGTTCCGGTTACTGGTTATATATTTATATACACTCTTTTGAATTACTAGTTTATTGATTATGAAGCGAACAGTTGAATTATTCATTGATAATATGGATTTATAAACAGAGCAAGATAATGGTTTAAATGGCTAGAAGTTTTGTATAAACCAAATAGTTCAAATGGATGATATGACAATAAAACTAGGATACTTTTTAATTATTTCATATACTATTAGACAAATTATTTTGATAATCGTCTAGAAATTAAGCTACAAGTAACTAAGGTTACAGAACAGGTTTTAAGAGCTGACCTGTCATTAAATTGTACTACGAAACATGTTGCTAATTAAAGACTGTACAAATTCTTATCTTGTTAAAAAAACATTTCATTTAATTCCAGATAGTTTATTTACTTAATTCATGTATAACTGTATCCAGTTGTCGGTCACTTTTTTATGAAAGGAACATGTTGAATCAAATACTTTGGTCTAAAAATATCCTATATTGTACCAAAAATGTAATATTGAATAAAGTCATTAATAATAATAATAATGATAAAACGTCAAGTCATATTTATGTGGTGAGCATTAATAAAATCGAGCATATGGTTGATAGACAAAAAACGTAAATCATCTGTTGAAGCTAATAAATCATACGGATTAAATCGTGATTTAGAATGAGAAAATTTATCTCAACATACTATATCAACAGAGTCAGTTGTTTATTGAAATAACATATAACAGTATAATCAAGACAATTTTAGAACTTTATGAATTCCAAGACTACGTGTCTAAGACGTAATAAATTACAACTAATGGAATTAACATCAATTAATGTTTCAAGGTGATGAATGCTTTCTTATTTAACTTACAAATGTCTAATGGTTCCTTAACGGTGTCTATCCAAATACTACAAGTCAATTTCATTGCTCTAGCAAGAGTGTAAACGAAATGCACAATCATCTCAATCATTTAATACACTTCCAAAAAGCACTAGTTCATCTGTTTCAGTATTATGGATTCAGATATATTTTAAGTAACTAATTAATGTATCATTAGTTTATTTCTGGTTTCCATATCTAAAATATTTGGGGAGGAATCAGTAGTTTTGTGGTCAAAATAATCGAATCTTTATCTCAACGTTACATATTTAAACATTAATTAATGTCCATATGGACAGCTGGCTGATATTTTAGGTTGTGTTCTTCATTGGGAATTTCACTTTACGCCATAAATTTCAGTAAGTTTGTGTTTTTCTTTCGACATGATAAATCGGACCACACTAACATGTTCTTCGTGAAGTATAGGATAATTCCGAAACTTTTAAAAGAAATATTCAGTAATTCCATATTCTGATATGCATTGGACACCAACAAAATGAACGGAAAAATGAATGAAAATGTGTGATACAACAAAATGATTGAAGTTTGAACACCCTGGTCAAATTTTTGAAAAATAGAAATGATATCATTGAGAACTTTATAGACACTAACTTTCACCAACATCGAAAGAGGATTTTTATTTCAGAAAATAGATAGAAATTAGACAACTACTCTCCTTTTCATTTCTGCTATTCATTACTTTGTGAAAAAAACAAGCAGGAGTTAAACAAATAGGCACTGAACTTTAAATGCATATCAGTAAATATAAAACTGGGAATCACCGATATTTTATTCCCAATTATTGTTGAACGAAATCAAACTCTGGATTGTCTTCAAAATGCAGTCAATCTTAATCAAAGTAGGATCTGTGATATTTGTTCATCGATATTTGTCATCACTCCATGCCAGTAGAATGAGATTGAATTATCGAATGAAATATCAGAATATTGTCGGTAGTGGAAAATATTAAACATAGACAATATGATTTGAGGAGAAAGAATTAATTCACAAAATAAAACACATTGTAGGCGAAATGCAAATAAATTTGCGCTACTGTGATCAATCCTAAGTTATGCAACACAGCGTCTCCAACTATCAGTTACAGTGATTGAGCTGACTCTAGGCTGGTAGTCTGCATCTGCCATCAATGCCCAACCTTACTGTCATTGGTTTCATGAACTAGTGCAACGTCTTGATTTGAACTTTTTCATCTAAATTACTGTGCCAGAAAACATTTCAGACCTTGATTCAGTATACGTAATAAATGTGTTTGGAAAATACGACATATTATTATTGTAAATGATTCAACAGTATTTTTTAAATTGTCGAAGATATCGTAGTTTAGAATTTCAAAGTGACTGCTTTTTTCAGAACTATTTTTTGTTTTGTGCTAACTATTAATCTATGATTTATGGTTAAATAGTCGATGTTTTCACATTATTTTCATTCTGTGAAATTCTCATTCAGTTTGGCCAATGAAGCTTTCTTCTCACCCTCGGCCTTTTCATTTGAGTAGCTATTTGTGTTTGGGTTTAAGAAGCTTGAGTATCAGAATTGTAAGCCACTTAACACAACATATTGAGTGAATTTTCTCATTATTTTTTCATACAAAGATTTGCATTGGTTCAGTTATCATATGCATGAGAACAAATGAATTATAAGCAAGTTATTACTAACAGTTACAATATAAAGTAAGGTGACTTCATTTCCTTTGTTTAGACTGTAACAATTGCAAATGCATGGTATTTCAATGTGTTGTATGTTAATACATGACACTAAATGTCAAGCATATAATAGCGTAGATAGATAAAAAGAAGGATCAGTACGTAACACTAAGACGAGAAAAAAAACATGAATATATAGGATGACATTTCGAAAAAAGTACCAAGATTGAATTAATTATATTAAGGAAGTGACAGAAGAATACGCATATAAATCTACAAGGGAGCATGAAAAGAAAATAGTTCATCACGGAGGTACAGTATTTAATAAGTTACATATTCATAAGATTTTATATTGTCCTAGTTTTAAGTTTTTACGTGACGTGATAAGTGGCCGTATAATTTTCGCTCATCATAAATTATAGTAAATTAGCTAGAAACTTGTTAATCAGTTATGCTACAAATATCCTACTCAGTATCAGTGTATGAGTACGTAATTCAAGTTATTTGTTATCAGAATTTCTATGGCTTCTGGATAAATTCAGTTGTCACTTACACTCAATTAATCCTAATGTTAGTTGATTTCAATAAATTGACAACAAATATCAACGTTATGTCCACCATAACATACAGATAGATTTTAAATTTTAAGTTCGAATTATAAATTATTGGTTAATGATTAACATCACTGAGCAAATACTACGTACATCACGACTATTTGAAGTTACATTAGTGACGCATGATAATAGATATTGCATAACCAGTATTAAGATTTTCCTAATCACATGTATAAAAAGTACAAGTAATCTTTCTGGTAAATATTTAACCATAAAGTGTGAAATATACTTATGACAGAATAATACTGTTTATCAATTTACATATTCATAACTGTTAAATCACAAAACTTACTGCAAATCGTGCCAAAATGTTTGCTCCCGCACCTTCACCAAATAGAACCACGTTTTTTATTCTTAATCAAAAAAAAAATCCAAAAATAAACATGTTTTCAATTAATAAAATACGATAGAATTGTATCACATTACTCGTGTAATTTGATTCTATTCTAGAGACAGGTGAACATAAATAACTACTTCACTCAGATTGAGAATTTTCTTAGCTACGAAAAGTTATTGCATGATGAAGTTTCAAAATGTAAGTAATATGTTTGTTTGACATTTTCAAACCTCAACTTGTAGTGGATTTCTCACTGACGGAAAGTATCATCACTAAGTAATATTCAGATAAAGAGCGAATTTCTCGATAGAGATATATTGATTGTTTCACAAGTGATAATCTTATTGACTATCTGTTACAACGGATCAAAACGTACCCTTATAACTTTAAGTAATATGGGTAAGATTTATGTTAATAAACAGTATGACATCATGAAATCAATGGATTCTTGCTGTCCTGTGTGTAGAAAATTCTTGTATTTGTATGCCATAGTATTTTAGACATTGTTGTAAAAATTAAATTTAGTATTATTCCATAATCCAAAATTCTTTACTTGATTCTCTGTTTCTCGACAATATTTCTGAGACTTGATTTTTAATTAAAGTTCAATTCGTAATTGTGAATAGTTTCATCAATGTCTTAAGATATTTTTTCATCAGGGGACTTTAAACAGTAAATGCATGTTCTTAGTTCTAGGCTTCTTATTCTCATGCATATCAGCTTATCTTTAATTGGCTGATATGGAGCTAAAACTGTTTATTGTTTTATTATCAGAAGGGGGTTTTGTGGAGCTTTTAGTGATTTTATATAATTGAAATCATGAGTCACTTGAAGCTAGACCACCATGGAAAGCCTGGAAGCACTGAACGCCCATTTCGTCCTATTGTGGGGCTCCTCAGCACTGCGCATCCACAATCCCGCCTCCCGAGATTCCAACCCAGGACCTATCAGTCCCGCGCCAGAACACTTAACCGATAGACCACTAAGGAGGCCGGCATCCAACTGTGTTAATGTCTAACTTCAACCAATACACGATTTTGAGCAACCGTTCACCAATGTCTTCAATGAGTTCCTGTCTCACAACAGACGTGGTTGAATTCCACTGGTTACTGCTTCTCTTGAAGTCAGTCACCTGTGAGCATATGATAGGACGAAACGGCCGTCCAGTGCTTTCAGTAAAGTCACTTTGAATAGTATTTTAATTTTTCAAATATCATGTAGATTTTAAGAACTGACGCTTGAATTAATTTATTTTAAAGAGAATCAGTGACAACCACTATCACGATCTTCTTCTAGGAAGAACAACAATATCAGAGAACAACACAAAAAATAAACAAACAAAATTTATATATCCTTAAGCATTGAAAACTGGATGTTTCTTAGTTGACAGTTGATCGGTGTACTTACATAAAGAAAAGCAGAAAACAACTTATTTTTAATTTAAACGCAAACAAAAACAAATAAACTGATTTCAGTCGTTTATATATCTACATTGATATATTACTAACAAGGATAAGAGTTAAAAATTCCCCTTTTTTAAAGTAGAACAACTCAGACAAAAGAAGAGTAATGTTCCCAATTAGATCTTTATTAGGCTTTACTTTAATATAAAACAGTAATTTGCATATATATTTATATGTACATAAATGAATTTATAAATACACATAAAATATTAAATCGATAAAGACAGTTTATGGGTCAGTAAGAACAAGAAAATAGACTACGTAACTACACATTTCCTATCCAACCAATGATATTTTCTTGAACAAGGGACAAGTTACCTGATCTCCTTATTCAATGTGAATCAACAGAATTAGCCGCTCCTATAAAGTAAGTTATAATGACTACACCACTACTCAGCTTAACTGATGAATAAGTGGACATCTTCTTCCGCAGTTTGCAAAGGTTCAAACGATAACAACACGTATCTTCATTTTATCACACTGGTCGTGTGTGTATTAAACTTAGTCATTTTTACTGATCTACGGTATATATTTGTTGTTCTTCAACAGGGTTCGATCTCGTCTTCAGCAAGTAACAAAACCTGTGGGGATTTGAGCCTTTAACTCTAATCTATGTGTTCAGAAGAAATATATACTATTTCTTGTTAATTGCTTAGCCTGATAATATTTAAAAAACGACCTTACTAATTTTCCACATCTACAGTATGTTTTTCTTCACTACTGTGTATAAAAGTATTACTACCTCGTTATTTACACGCTTCTCAGTATGCAATTCTAACGATTTTTAATGATTATTGTTTCAGAAGGGGTTTTGTGGAGATTTTAGTTATTTTATAGGGCTCTGGCTCAAAACTGGTAGGTCCTGGGTTCGAATTTAGCAAGTGAGGGGTCATGGATGCGCACTGCTGAGGAGTCCCATAATAGAACGAAATGGCCGTTCAGTGGTTCCAGGTTTTCCATGGTGGTCTAGCTTCAATTGACTCACGATCTCAACCCTATAAGATTATTGTTTCAACTTATATTTTCGCAAGGTTTAATCTGCTTCAAATGCTGAAACGTCGTGATTACATATGTCTTCTTGGTATTTTACCTTTTTACTTATTTATTAATATTCCCTATGTTGTTGTTATTATTGACTCATAAACAGCCTTGATTAGTATAATATTTTATATGTGTATATAAATATTACTGCTTTATATTTGAGTAAAACCTTATGAGAATCTGATTTTAAACAGTACTCTTCGCTTATGTGTATTGTTCTAATGATGAGATAGTAAATTTAATATTTTTCATCTAGAGGGTTTTCGGAAGGTTGCTAAATTTTCATAGTTCGCACCATGGAATGATTTTAGTCAAACTACCACTGAAAACTGGAGTACACTGGACAACTGTTTCGTCCTACTATGGGACTCAACGTGTAAATTGATTCGAGACTCTTAATATCAAATAAAGTTGTGTAATAATCAGGGGGTAAGAGAAGAATATCAGAATAGAAATAATTTACGTGTCAGAATTATGGGAGATAACTGTCCACTTGACAGATATGAAGAAAGCGAAAAACACAAAGGTTATAACAGCAAAAACTGAATAATAATCATGAAAAATTGTTTAAGGATAATAATAACTGATTGTCTTGCGAAACGATTACTAATTCACTACAAGAACATTTAATCAACTGGGGACAAATTACTCCGAAGGGGTCTTCTTTTAAAACAATCTATACGGTCAAAACAATTGGATCGAAGGGAGTTCGAATCAAAAGCTTATGCACAGTTGAGGCATTGTCAATCCACCAACTCAAGCCCTAACTCAGCGTGCAATAAACAATACGTCCGACCACTCATCCTTCCTTGACCCTAATTCCCTTTTGTCGTATGTTTTGTTTGTTTTATCATTATTTTTTTTATTCTTTCAAATTAGTGTTTTGTGATTTTAAACCGTAATCAGCCTTTCAAAATGTTCGAAATATATTCCTCTTGCAGTATCTTTTAGCCAATGTTCATCGCTTCTTCTTATTTCTTTGTTCCAACTTCCTTTTTATTTGGTTATCAGCTATTGTGTCATAACCCTTCGTGTTTCATCCTACTTTCTTTTTTTATAAATGAAAAGGATGTATGATAAAATATGTTTTACCATGTTTCGCTGGCTAGTTAGCTTGTTTGAATTATTCATTTTCACTAGTTATGCGTTTCATTCACAAAAGTTGCCTGAATAAGAAGTCAAACACAAAAGAGATTTGAATCATCTTAACCGGAAAAAAACCTGGAGATTTTTCTTTAAAATTTAAACGAAAATAGAGTAGTTTAAGGTAAATTTTCAATGTATCGGTTACAAGCTGGAAACCGAGGAGCAGAGTGCTTAATCTTGTAGGAAATAGAAATTTTCATAAAATATAATCCTTATACGCTCACATATATATACCCATTGACACACACCCAAAAAGAAGCATAAAAATATATAGATATTTGAAATAAAATACGTGTCACTATACAGTAACGATATTAAGTTAGGGAAACTTAATGAATTGAGAAGATTTTTTAAATGTTAAACAGAAAAAATAACACTCGAAAATGTTGATATACCAATGATAGTAATGATGGAACTCACAAACCTAAATCATGAGATTAAGTCATTGAACATTTGGACACAAAGTATATACTAATTATAAGTAAAATGTCATTATTAAAAGTCATAACGTAAAAGATTACTTTAAAAAAACTTTAAATGTCATATCGATACTTGTTTAGTACGTTTTGTATTTATTTTAGTGACCTGGAATCCAATATATATTTCATGTTACAGGGTATTTACTGTTTATTATAAAAATTGAAAAACCAAGACTCCTTTACTATTAATTGTTACTTTTGAGGGTGAAAAATGAAGTAATTATGTACACAGGTCATGCATTATACTTTTAACAAATTGTTATATTCGGAAGTATTTTCAAAGTTTCCACCACTTTGTAACACTACCCTAGAAGCAGGGAAATATTTACATGGTTTTTTGTATAAAAACCAAGAAGATAGATAATAATAGTATGTTTACCAGTAGATAACTTTAAATTTGATTAACCGAGACATTTATTGCTGTTATAGCAAGTCTCTTACGATCATTTTCGATTATCGTCAACTTTTGGTTAAGCCCTTTTATTAACTTTACAGACAATGTTGTTCGAACAGTAACAATTCGTATATTTCTTTGTACTATTATGATAATTATCTTGTCTGCACAAACGTGTACGCTTGATCACATGACAGCCTACACACGTATCTCTTTTGAGCTTAAATGTGGATAGCTTAAACATCGCTCGATGAATCATTCTCTGTCATATGTATATATGTACTCGAGTCCTATTATTAACCTCTGCTTTGACTTGCTGCGCCTTGATTCAGTTTGACCATAAATTCACCTCATTGTTTGTTCTCACACACACATTCGCCTCTCTGCTTTAAACTCGCTCGGTGTGCTTGTAATTTTGTTATCCGTGCTATCCGCAAATAAACTGTAGTCTCCGCTTACTATTGCCTTCTGATTTCAAACACCGTTGGGTTTT